GGTGTTGTTTGAAGAAGAGAAGGCTCAGGGGAGACCTTATCGCTCTCTACAACTACTTGAAAGGAGGTTGCGGAGGTGGGTGTTCATCTCTTCTCCCAAAGGAGAAGTGATGAGGCCACTTCCTTTTGTCCTAAGTTGCACCAGGGGAGGTTTAGATTGGGATATTTGAGAAATGTGTGGACAAGATGCTGAAGGACATGGTTTAGTGGTGGACTTGGCAGTGTTAACAGTTGGACTTGATGATCTTAATGGCCTTTTCCAACCTAAAAAATTCTGATTTTAAATCCAGACAGTGTCTCTCCAGGTTCTCTTGCAACAGCTTTTCCACTGCCCCTCTCCATAAAAAAAAAAGTAGGCGATGGATTTATCTGAAAAAACAACCTGCTTTTTCTCTCACTCACATCACACCAGTGGCATTAGTGGGGAATCAATGATACCTTTTTCTTATTTACTGAGATTTCCAATTGAGAAGATAGCAAACTGTAACAATAAGGATTATCTTTCGATAGTTCTAGACTAAACATACCTTATTAGATTTTAGTCTATTTCAATTTTTCTAGCATATCAGTACTATATACTGATTCTGCTCATTACTGATCATGTCTTCAGTATAAGGTACCACCAACCACCTGGGATATTAATCCATAAATCCTAAAACACAGCACTTCCTTTTAAACAACCAATGCAGATCAAGTACAAGCATTTGAAAAGCATGCTGTAAAAGAAAAATGGCAACTCATGTCTTACCTTGTCCTAAGAGCCACCCAAGCAGCATCAATGTCAGCATACAAATTCTTCTCTGTTGGCTTCCCAGAACTTGCACCATATCCAGAATAATCATATGAGAATATGTTGCAATTAATCCGTGAACCCAGTCCTATGTAAAAGCTGCTCATCTGACCTAGGTCAACAGCATTTCCATGTGAGAAGAGCAAAGTATACTTGGCGTTAGGCGAGCAACGCACAAACATACAGGCAATCCTGTTACCTTTACTTGTTCTAGTCATGAAGCACTCAATGGCATCTTTTTCTCTAGAAGAATATTGCCAGTCTGCTCGCTCTGAGAGATGTAAAGTCCATCGACTACCACTCTCATCACACATCAGTGTGTACGTGGGATCAGGAGGTAAGAATGCCAGTTTGGAGGCAATTTTCCCTGGGCATGGCGGACAACAGAACAGGCAACACAGTTCACTAAAGGAAAGATTATTCATCTTCTAGTCTGAAAGGGGAAGAAAGAATGGTATCAGTTTCTAGTTAAAATCCTATACAAAAAAAGAAAAACTCATGGAAAACAAACTTAACCTCTCTAGAAAATAATACATAATTTTAGTGGCAACATTTAACACAACACAGATTTAAATATATATGTAAATTCCTATATAACAGCTTATTTGATATTATTAGCTACTTTAGAATGAGCATATTATAGGAGTGATAACTCTAAAGCTCTACCAGATATTGAAACTAAAACATGATTACCCACGGAAAGAACAAGCATGAGTTGGAGTTTCTTTGGAAGAATTTTAAGTCCCTCATCTTAAGCCATTAAAAGAAGAGTTCAATCCTGTTGACAAATCTATATTATAAAGAGCAATTAAAATAAGTTGCGCATTTGCAGGATACTAGGGCTATGCAGATCTTTGCAGCCAAAACCACTACAGCGTTTCCTAAATACAGAGCATATGCATTGCAATCATGAGTTATGGGCTCTTACAAGCAATACCAGCAGTATGAAAGGTGAATGAAGGTCAAAAATGAGATACTTCTGCTGGCTTAGCAAACAGCATAGACCTTCAGTATGCTAAAATCCAGCAATAAACTCTTCCTTGTTCCACATACCAGCTGACATAAATGTTTTCAAACCTTTCAAATCGGGAAGGGG